TTTGGTGAACCTAAGAAGAAGAAGCTGTGCATCTCAACTTCCCAAACTACGAGGTGCACTCCAATCTGAGAAAGAACGGGGGAGTTGTGGCTTTTGTCCGCAGCAGTCTTTCCTGCTCCAGGGCTCTTTCTTTGGAATCAGACCGGAAGGACATTCTGTGGCTTCGCCTCAACTCCAAAACTTCACCCAAATTTATTTGCTGCCTTTATCGCTCTCCCTCGAACCATAACTGGGATGACCTACTCGAATACCTCGCCGTCCAGATCGACTTCCTGAACATCAATCACCCCGCTTCAGAGGTAGTTCTTCTCGGTGATTTCAATGCCCATAATGAGCTTTGGTTGGGCTCAAATAAGACCGATGCAGCAGGTCGCGCAGTCGAAGCGTTCGCTCTTACTCAAGGGCTGACCCAGCTGGTGACGAGCCCTACTTTTTTCCCCCGCGTCTCGTCACACGCCAGTAGCCTGCTGGATCTCTTTCTGACCACGCATCCTGCCCCTTACAGCACTGTTGTCCTGTCCCCCCTGGGTAACTCAGATCACGGTGTTGTGGAGGTTAGGTTTCGGTCCGAAGCCGCTGTGGCAGCAGACACTCGCACAGGCCGCAAAACTTGGCATTACGGACATGCCGACTGGGAGGGGCTCAGAGATAAGGCGACGTCGAGTCCAGAAACAAATATAACGAAGCGGTTCGCAATGCCAAAAACCAGCATGATATAAAAGTTAGGCACAGGGTAATGTCGCAGCGCAATGGCAGTCGGTCTTTCTGGACGCTGGCCAAGCAGATTGAAAAGAACTTCTCACACAGTAGCCTTCCACCACTTACGTGTCAGGATGGAACTATTGTATTCGACTCAAAGGCCAAGGCGGAAGTGCTAGCCAAGATCTTTGCTGCCAACTCCACCATGGACGTCCCCACCAACGCCCAAGTGCCGTCAATTCAAAGGGTTCCCCACACTATGCGAGAGGTAACATTCAGGCATAAGACCGTAAGACGAGTGCTCTTGTCGCTCGACATCAACAAAGCTTCTGGTCCGGACTTGATTCCTGCCATTGTACTGAAGAGATGTGCAGCGGAGCTTGCTCCAGTTCTTTCGCGTCTCTTCCAGATATCTTATGAATCCGGCACCTTCCCAGAAAACTGGAAATTTGTTCATGTACAGCCCATCCCAAAAAAAGGATCTAAAACCGACCCTTACAACTACAGGCCTATAGCTCTGCTTTCTGTTATAAGTAAAGTGATGGAGAGGTGCATAAATCGCGAGCTTCTGGACTACCTCGAACGTCACAGCTTGATTAGCGACAGGCAGTACGGTTTCCGGCACCAACGATCCACAGGGGACCTCCTAGCTTACGTCACGCAACTGTGGAGTAAACTCATCCAGTCTCATGGTGAGGCTCATGTCGTTGCTCTTGACATCACGAAAGCGTTCGATCAGCTGTGTCACGCTGCCCTCTTAAGCAAACTTCCATCCTACGGCCTCCCAGAAAAGCTTTGCAGATGGGTGGCTGACTTTATCTCTGGCCGCAAGATATCCGTCGTAATTGACGGATTCTCCTCTTCATCCCACAACGTCAACGCGGGTGTTCCCCAGGGATCGGTCTTGGCTCCAACACTGTTTCTCTTACATATCAACGACCTCCTTTCCTGCACGATCAACCCAATCCACAGCTTCGCTGATGACAGCACTCTACATGCAGGAATTCAGAGTGACAAGCCGATCTCTGCCGCTGAGCTGGAAAAAAGAAGACTAGCGACGACTTCTTCTCTGACAAGAGACCTGGAGGCTATCACTGCTTGGGGACGCAACAATCTTGTACAGTTCAATGCTTCCAAAACACAGTACTGTACTTTGACGAACAAAAAGCGTCCTAGCGCTCATACAGTTTCGATGGACGGTCGAGTTCTACCAAATAGCCATTCATTTCGGCTGGTCGGAGTCCAGATCACCGAGGACCTGATCTGGCACGAACACATCTCTTCAATAGCTGCAGCTGCTGGGAAAAAGCTAGGCTATTTGTTTAGGGCTAAGAAGTACTTTTCTCCGCATGACCTTCTCACTCTATACAAGGCCCAGATAAGGCCTAGCCTCGAGTACTGCTCACACATTTGGGGTGCTGCCGCCCCGACTACATTGTCCATGCTCGATGCTGTCCAGAGGAGGGCGGTCCGACTGATCGATGACTCTTCTCTAACAGACAGTCTCGGGACTCTTTCGCACCGGCGGGCCGTCGGCGATCTAGCTCTTTTCTATCGCTACACCAACGGGCTTTGCTCCTCAGAGCTCTCTTCTATGATGCCGACGAGCGATGTGCCTGCCAGACAGACCCGCCTGACTTCGGCGTCCCATCCTAACTGTGTCAAACTTCGTACATCCAGAACTGGCCGATACGACCGCTCCTTTGTCCCGAGGGTGTCTAGATTGTGGAACAATCTACGGGAGGAAGCTTTTCCCAGTTCTACTAACCTTAGGCAGTTCAAAAATCGTATTAACAAAATTTCTTTGGGATCATCATAGCAGCCGCGGTGTTCCGGCATTTAGGCTTCTGCCTGCGCGGCTGTTTCGATATAAAAAAAAAAAAAAAGAGAGGAGCTCCTCCAGACCAGGCGACAGGAACACCCAGGTACGTGGCGATCATGCATTGTCTTTGTATGGCTCGTGTGTCGATTACTTTATTGTCTTAATGATATCTGAACCCGCTTACAGTCGCTCGGCTCTCCACAATTTAGAATCATCTTTGCAGGAACATCGCAAGATGAAGCTTTTCTCAGTTCTAGTAACCTTAGGCAGTAACAAAATTTCTTTGGGATCATCATAGCAGCTGCTTCGGTATAAAAAAATGATTAATACCAGGCTGTGTGCTCTGAGTTGGAACTAGCAAAATTTCTTGTAAATCTATCTCAGAATCTGAAGATGAATTTTCTTGTACTGGTTCGTAAGATGATGTCGAAGAAATTATGAAAGCAACATATTTAGCTCACCGCTTGGGTTTTTCTTCTTTTATGGCTAATTTCTTTTCCATCCCACCCTATCTTCATTTATTTTCATCAATTGAAGGGCATGGGCATGCGCAATATCAAACAGATCGTCCAAGTTTGTAACAAATTCTTGTCGACGTTGCTCAAACATTTCTTGTGTTTTCCTTGCATTTTTTGTGAATCTCTACAAACTTGGTATGAAGTAACTAGTTTCGTAACACAGTTAGGTGGAGATTTAGTCGGTATACGTGTCTTTTCCCAGTAAATAATGCACTCATGAGTTGGCGCTTTCATTGACATTTAATTTCATTTCCCGTATATTATAAAGGGTTGTCCAATAGAGACGCAGGAAAGTAAACGTCAATTTGACATAGACGCCATCTTTGTTTTCTGTCACCGACATGTCATTTTGTTAGTTGAATGTTTACCATTGATCGCTGTAGAGTCGTAGTCGATTGAAGACCGCATTAAAGTTATTCAAGAGCACTACAAAAATGGTGCAAAAATAAAAAACACGTTTCGCGCGCTTCGTGAACATTTCGGTCGCAACAACCGACCAAACGAAACAACCAGCGGTCGTCTGGTGCGTAAATTCGAGGCAACAGGTTCTGTGGCAAATCTGCCAGGCTCTGACCGGCCAAGGAGCGTTCGCACACCTGAAAATATTGCTGTTGTGAAGGAGAGTGTCAGAGACGAACCGAAACAATCAACAACGCGTCGATCCCAAGAATTGGGCATTTCGAGAACCAGTTTGCTCCGCATTCTCCACAAGGATCTGAATGTACACGCCTACAAGATCCAATTGACGCAAGAGCTGCGTCGGGCCGACCATTTTTCGCGCCGAACGTTCTCAGATTGGCTCCTTGAACACCGCCAAATTGATGCCAATTTTTCATCAAAAAGCATGTTCAGCGACGAAGCGCATTTCACTTTGAATGGGACGGTAAACAAGCAAAACTGCCGCATCTGGGCGAACGAAAATCCCCGTGAGTATCAAGAGCAGCCGATGCATCCTCAAAAAGTGACTGTGTGGTGTGCATTGTGGTCAAAAGGCATCATCGGACCTTACTTTTTCGAAAATGCGGCCGGGGACGCCGTTACCGTCAATTCTGAGCGATATCACGCGATGATAGAGGACTATTTTTTGCCGCAACTTGAAGGAATGGATATGGACGATGTTTATTTCCAACAAGACGGCGCAACATGCCACACAACCAACGTCAATATCCATCGATTGCAGTCCTTCTTCGGTGATCGCGTGATTTCGCGCAGAGGAAATGTGCCATGGCCACCAAGATCGTGCGATTTGACCCCCTTGGACTTCTTTTTATGGGGATATTTGAAAAGCAAAGTCTACGTCAATAAACCAGCCACCCTCCAAGCACTCAAAAACAACATCATTGACGAGATAAATGAAATAGAACCGACCATGTTGCAAAATGTCATTGAAAATTTCGACCATCGCGTGGACGTCTGTAAATCCAGTCGTGGTGAACATTTGAACGATATTATTTTTCATACATAAATAGTATAAATGAACCTTCAAAATAAAGTACCCAACTTGATTTGAATATCAATCTTTCTTGTTTTAATATGCGTTTACTTTCCTGCGTCCGTTTTGGACAACCCCATAGAACAAAACTGCTACTAATTGTCGCTTAGAGGGAAGCTTTGAACCGGTAATTTGATGCTTTCCCCTATTAACACTAATCCCTTTTTAGAACCGCCTAATTCCTTCGACATGTTGAATGAACGAAAGCAGTGCGTTCACTACTAGAACAAACGAGCACTGCAATAGGCTGGCTAGCTCGCGCCTAATATGCTACTTTTGACGTGTTCCAACGCAACTCGGTACGGGCTGCCCTCGTTCTAGATCCATAAAACTTAATTTACAATTGTTTTGACATTGTTCAAGCAAAATTAGAGGGTATGCGTTTAGAAAAAAAAGAACCTTCATTTTTTCCGGACACCCTAATAGTCATGCTCCCTTGTTTACCTTTCTTCTGGTCTTACGAACTTACCTCAGGTACCCAGTGACTGGCTTTGGTTCCGCCCCCAGCCTGCGTTTCACCAATGGTGACCGCGCGGCCGCGTCTTCGCGCCGCCCCGCTGTACCATTGGTTGCACTCCTCGGCACGCCCAGCAGCTGCCGGATGCCGGGCATCACACCCCTCGGGAGCGGCCCGAACGTCGACGAGCCGCCAAAGACCAGCGAGTGCGGCCGCGCTAATAGCGATGCCTTTTCTGTAATAAATAGATACACGGCTTATTTGCTAGCAACTTAAAAACAGACATTCCAGTGAATCCCGGAATTATACAGGGTCCGGCACAAAGGACGGATGTTTTTGGAATGACTAGTAACGTAAGTCCTAAAAGTTTTGGCGCAAAATATTTATCGGATTTTTTTTTTTTAATGAGGATATTCATTTAAACACTAACTAGTTCATCATAAATTACAACTCAATACTTAACTACACATGCCTAAACAAAAACGAGACTCGTCACTAAAGACAATACTGTTCCATTCCTGATCCCAGAGTGACCGTTGTCTGCACCACTCAAGGCGATTACGTCGGTGTTCTCGAGTTAAAGGGAGGACCCAGTGTGGCCGGTATGAAAACAAGCCAAAACTTCTCATTCGTCGGTAAACACTTCTCATGCCAATAGGTCTTCCGTGTTCTGCAAACCATTCATTTTCAATGGACCTGGCAGTGGAGAAACGGTCCCTTAAGGCCAATAATCTTAGGCGGCGATCTTCACGGTCTGTTGTCCAGTGCTCCTTGTTCTTTGCGTACGGCCTTCTCGAAGCCATGCCTGACAACACCTAACCACAGTGGCAGTTGCCTCGTAGTTTGGGAAGTTAAGATGATTAATCGGTGCAGACTCTGAGATTTTTGTCTCCGCCAAGAAGAGCATGACGGGACGATTGGATTGCAGGTAGTGATGAACAGCATCAATGTTGCTGTTAATCCCGCAGATGTTTGTAAAACAAATTTTATCTTCGATGTTGTTCGCTCAAACCCACCTTCCACCCGGACATTCCGAGAGTGGAGTGAGTATACGTTCGGAATTCTTAGTGCTCGAGGGATCCATCATAATTAATTTCTTTGTTTTGGAAGATAACCGACTGCATAGCTTAGGTGTGGAAACATGCGGACATTTATAAGACACCTTGGGAAAAGTTAGCGGGTGGTACCGCCTCGGTCGACTGGTCCTTGTCTACCACCTTCTTTTTACGTGTTAATGATATTAAATAGACCTAAAGTGGCCCATTGGCGGACTTGTACCGCCACCCGGCAATCGGTACTGAGGTATTCCTTAACGAGTGTACAATCACTTGAACGTGAAGAAGTTGTATACTGGATACAACAACTTCCGGAACAAGTATTTGCCAAGTAGGGGAGGACGATATCTTAAAGAGAAAACTTCAAAATAAATAAATGTCAACTAACAGTAAAGTACGTAAACAAACTTTTGTCCCCAAAGGCAACTTAATATTATTTTGTGTTTGTCAAGGTTAAAGCCAATAGGCCGCTTTACGCGTGCGTTCCAATCTGTCGGTTTTGGAGCGTCGTCTGGCGCGTTTAGAGTGGCGTGCGAGCTCGGAGCGTACGCGTTTGGCACGTTGTACAAGAAATGTGACAACGTTCCTGGAGCGCGCCCCAACTCTGTGCGTTTGGAGCGTACATGCCAAAATCGTACGTCTAAACACAAAACCTCACAGTTTTGGAGTGGCGCGTTGGATTTATAACTGGCTGATGACTCCAGTGTGATAAGTTATGGAATCCTGATGATTACCATTTCAACGGTACGGCTAACACCGTCCCGATGCCCTTGTGATTAGCGCCGTCCATCCGGTTTCTAGTTACAGCGTTAAGTGTTATCTTTGTGAGAACATTCCTGACGTTGCATTTTGCTATATTTTACTTCTTATAAACTGAATATGAAATGTAACTAGCGTTGTTGTCATCCTGTTTTCATCCAATAAAGTTCCTGCTATAGTTTCGAACCGAAACCACACTGAGTTTCATTTCTGATACCCCAATTTCAACATGTTTAAGAAAAGGTTAAGAGACCAGGCGATAGATTGTTCTGAAATATACGTATATTTTAACACGGAGACCAAAATAAAAGAAGGTTTTGGTTGAAAAGTGGCGGGAAGTGTTTTTTTTTTATTGAATCCATTACCGTTTTATGAAAGATTTATCATTTGCTTTTATTAATGTAAGATCGCTTACAAATGATTTCTTTGAATTTAAACAGTTCATGTTAGAAAAGAAATTTGATATAGTTGGTGTTTGTGAGTCGTGGTTGCATAATGGGATTCCCAATTCTAGTATTCACATTAATGGTTATAGATTTTTCAGATTAGATAGAGCGAGTAGAGGCGGTGGTGTAGGAATTTACATAGCAGAATATATAAAATGTAAAACAATAAACACCAGTTAATGTTTTCTATTTTAAAATACATGGGATGTTCCCTTAATGCTATTAAACTATTCAAAAGTTATTTCTCGAAGAGGACGCAGGTTGTCATAACCTGTTCTGGGGTGTCAGTTTCCGAACCCATTCTGTGTGGGGTACCTCAAGGCTCTATCTTGGGTCCATTACTTTTTTCGGTATACTCTGCAAATATTACTAGTAGTTTAGTATGTTCAAGGCCTTATTTAAATGCTGATGATACCCAGATCAAATTTTTCGTTCTCTCTTACAGATACAACAACTACGGTTACATTATTAAATGAAGATCTTAGTAATTTGACAAATGAAAGCATAGGTCATCAGTTATCTATAAATCCAACCAAGTCAAATGTTTTATTGTTCGGGGAACACAAAAAGAGCGTGGCAGATTCATTCCATATTTCAATTAATAATAATGTTATTCCTCATACATCCGCTACTAGGAATTTAGACTCGATTATGGATAGTGACCTGAGGTTTTCAAAGCATGTTGATAAGTGCATTTGCATGTGCTTATGGTCGGCTTAAAATGTTATTTCCACATCGTCATATCTTTTCTACCGAACTTAAGGCTTTGCTTTGTCACACGCTTGTTCTGTCATTATTCAATTACTGCGACTCAGTTCATGGGCCTTGTATAACAAGGTATGATGCTGATCGTATACAGCGTGTCCAAAACTCTTGTCTTAGGTCTATTTTTGGAGTAAAAAAATTTGAACATATTTCTTATAAGTTACCTGTAATAGGATGGCTAAATATGGAAGCTAGGAGAAATCTGCACTGTGCAGTTTTGTTTCATAAAATTATTCCATATAAAACTCCACCTTATTTATGTATATAATAAGATTACATTTCGAAGTAATGTTCACAATATCAATGTTCGGTATCGGAACCACGTCATCGTACATCTATGTTTAATAGATCTTTTTCTCATTCTATCTACCACTTGTACAATCACGTCCCCACAAACCTTAAGTCTGTGTCTGTGTCAGCCTTTAAAAGAAGTTACAGAAAATTTTGTATTAGATGAATTGTTGTGTTTACTTTATATTGTTCCTTTCCTTTTTATACTTTACGTAGTCGTGCCATAAGTTCTGTCCCATGATAATCTCATGATAAAAATGAAACAAGATAAGATATATTTATATGAAAGATATTATTTATTCGACAACATTTTTAGAATTCATAATCAAACAGTTTTATTCAAAATGTCCCCCCTTGGCCTTCACACACTGCTTCAATCTCGCGGGCCACTCATCTATCACTGCACGCACAGCTTCCAAAGGAATAGCTGCCGCTGATCGGATCAAATCCGCTTTCAGGGACTCGATATTACGGTGGGCTTTGGAGCAGGCCAACTGCTCTAGCAGGTCCCACAACTTGTAGTCTAAAGGATTGAGGTCCGGACTCCATGAGGGCCAATCTTCCGCAGCAATGAACTCTGGCACATTGCTTTCCAGCCAGCGCTGCGTACTCTTAGCCTTGTGAGCGGGGGCGGAATCCTGCTGGTAGACCCAGTGTTGGTTGGCAAACAATGTACCACTTAAAGGCTTGACGATAGGATCCAGTATGTCGCTCTGATAGTTTGCCGCTTTTGTTTTCACGCCCTGTTTACAGAAATGGAGCTGAGTGACCCCTTCGTAGGACACCCCCCACCAAACCATGACTGACGCAGGGTGGTGGCCTCTCTCAACTCTCGGAATGATCTCCGAAGCTTCCTGTGAACTCCTTGCATACACTTTGTCATTTTGTCGGTTGAATTTTTCTTCTATGGTGAAGATTTTCTCATCCGTGAACAAAATCTTTCGGAGTCCCCCAGCTGCGTCCCTCTCCAAGAGCTTCTTGGATCTTGTCGCCCTGATGTGTCGCAAGGTGGCCGTAAGTCGCTGGCCCGTACGTCTCCGGTAAGCCCCTAGCCCTAGGTCTTGTTTAATGATGCGCGACATCGTCCGGACAGGAATCTTCATTTCCCTGGATAGGATCTTCTGCTTCCGGAGTGGATTCCTTTGAATCCTGGCTTTTACGGCTTTGATGGCTGCTGGAGTCCTTACTTGACGAGGTCTTCCGCTTCTTGGCCTGTCATCAACAGAGGACGTCCCATTGTACCGCTGAATGGTCATAGACACAAATTTACGCGATATTTGAAGGCCGCGTAAGAGTTCAAAAATCTGACTAGCACTGTGATTACACTTATGTAAATCTATCACTGCAATACGGTTCTCTGCCTTGCCCCACTCCATCGTTATGCTTCGAGAGATCAATACAAACTGAGGTATATGTAATTACCCGAAAAGCGCTTAATCAACTGACACCACAATGTAAACAATCGGACAAGTATTAACAGGTCTACACTTGTTTGAAAACGAGGGACAGAACTTATGGCATGACTACGTAAATGTTTTTTTTTTGTTAAATCTGGCTAAAATGATTTGACCTTTTCTGTTAAATTATATTTTAAATTATATTTTTTATAAAGGTAGCAATTTCTTTATATACATATTTTTTTTGACGTTTATAATTATTATTTATTATTAATATTAATTTGGTTAAGAACTCCTCTGTTGTAATTTTGTTTGTTGGGCTAGTACTTTGATCATCTCGTCTGTTTACTAGTCCCTTTTGCAGGAAATTCATATTGTTTCTTTATTTTTTAATTTTTCTGTCTCTTTGTATTTTTTTGCTCTACAAATAAACGCTATTATTATTATTATTATTATTATTATTATTATTATTAAGATAGAATGTTTTCTTTGAAAAATTGCACTAATTCTTGATAAGCAGTATTTTTAAGTTTTTGTTTTTATAGTCTTCACTTTTTACCTTACATAAGCAAGGATGGTTCCTATACAGGGTGTCCGCAAAGTTGGGGTTTTCCTTTACACGACGTGTAGATCTTGAAAACATAAGCAATTTTTCTTAGTACCATATACACCAATGTCTTAAGGGAACCAAGATAAAGGGCTCTGCAACATCAAAAATATCTGAATACCGTCCTGTAGCCGCGACCCGCCGCGATATCCCAGACTGGTACCGGCTACTAGCTGAACCCCACGACAGAACTGGTTTGGGGGTCGGGGTCAGTATGTCAGGTCAGTATGCAACCTTCAACCGACGGTTACGGTCACGCGTGTAGAGGTAATCGCGTAGACGAGAATCCCTCAACAAGCACTAGAGACGTGACTAGAGAAGTGCAAGTATCAAAAACTAAAGTGTGGCAAACGCTGCGTGAAGAGGGGCTGTATCCGTTTCACGTCCAACGTGTACAAGCCCTTCAACCTGACGATTTTCCAGCAAGAGTGCGGTTTTGTGAGTGGTTGTTGCATCAACATGACAATAATCCGGACTTTTTGAAGTGCATATTGGTGACAGACGAATCTACGTTCACGCGTAATGGGGTGAATAACTTTCGCAACACTCATGTTTGGTCAGTAGAAAATCCGCACGCTGTCCGTCGGGCACATTTTCGGTGAATGTTTGGGCTGGCATGGTGAACGGTATGCTCATTGGACCATTTATTCTCCCAAATCGATTGGACGGGATGCAATACCTAGACTTTTCACGCAACATTTTGCCTTCCTTGTTAGAAGATGTGCCATTAAGTGTAAGATAATCAATGTGGTTTCTGCGCCTGCTCGGTAGCGCATCAGCTGATTTCATTTTCTGTTGGAGCGGTATGATTTCGGGCAGAGACATACTTAGCCCTTCTCGTCAACTGGAGAGTGAGTACTTTTTCTTTTATTTTTTTTTTACTTGGTCGCCCTCGTTTCACTACACATTACCTTTGTTATTTCAAGGGTAGTTGTTTCTGAAAAGGAAAACCCCAACTTTGCGGACGCCCTGTACAACTACATCAATAAATTTTTCTAAGTTGACCCTCGACCACGCCATTATAATATTTCAAATTTCAATAGAGAATCCACCACAAACCCAGGTGCCGGGCTTGCGAGTCCAGACGTGTCTATGCAAATGCTGGCCGGCGCGTGTTCCACGTCTGCGTTCCGTTCTGGAGGTCCACGCACCAGCGGCCGAGCAATTACACGGAAGTGTTGGACCGAGAGAATTAGCGCGTAAACGTATAGCTTATAAATGTTAAGTTGACAACTGTCCTTGTCCCTTGATTATTATTTACTATTCCTTAGTTTAGTAAGATTAATTAGTTAGGATGTTGATGTGATGGGATTTAATTAAGCGTTTATTTGTTGTTGTTACAGAATTAGTAATAAAAATTATATAAAAAAATAATTTCCAAAATAAACTTTCCCCATATTCCTTGTGTGGCCCAGGGATATGCAATTAAGTAGACTTTTTTTCTCGAGAACTAAGCAAGATACGAAAAAAATTCAAGAGACAAAAAAGTTGTATTTCTATTTACTTAATCCAACGAACTCATCAAAATAGCCCAAAAGTAAAAAAAACAGTCATCTGCACTAACTTCATCTTTGAAATATCTCCAAATCTCTTATTTATACTTCAAAAGACAAATAAAATATATTAAAGTAACAGAACCGCAATAATTTTTCCATAAAGCATGTCATGTACATTTTTTACAAACAATATATTTTTTGTGCCAAGCTTTTATGATACGACCATTTTTTTGTTGGGTGATGACAAAAAATGTGTGTTTACACAGTAATAGATACGTTTAACAAACAGCATAAAAAACAACAGAAGCAGAGCTTGATAAAGTGATTCAAGTATGTATTTGTGCAGACATAACTGTGCCAAGTAAGTGTCATATATTGGGCCACCTACCGCTGTTATCCCTGTGCAGATTTTCCAGATCCCTGTCAACCGCCAGGCTGATGTCAGTCAGCGCTCCGTAGCCCGCCCACGAGCGGACGGCACGTCTACGCTCCGCACTAGTGGGCGGTGCCGTGTCCGGGAGGCCTTGCCCTGAAGCACGTGTTGCGCGCGACTGGCTACGCCTCTTATCGGCGACACGCAACGCCACCGCCCCTCCTGTCAGCTGCAGCGTCATTGGATGGGAACCGAAACAAATGCACTAAAGACGGCGGTGGGTGGAGCCAGGCCTGGAAACAGGAAAACAACGGAGCGGTTAGGCTGGGTCGTCCACGCTTCACGTACTAAACTGGTGGACAGGTGCTATGCGACTTGGAAAATTTTAACCAAATTCAAATCTCGATGTTTTCGGAACGGAAAGAGATATCGGGTTGCGGTATTCAGGGGGTTCTTGAACAACTCTTTGAGAACACATACAGGGCTCGACAGGTATATTTCTTTTATTTATCCACAGCGTGAGCAAAGGATGTCAGGTTTTTTTAGCACAGTTTGGGGCTATGTCAGAGTCTCAATTTTTGATTTTGGAAATTTTTCTATGCATATTTTTGATCTTTGGACTATCCTAAAAAAGCAATTTGTCATATTTTCGAAAGTTGAATGTAACACAAATTATCGAATTTTAAAAAAGTGTTACATTCATCCCTAACAAGGACTTTTTTGGGGTTTCTCTTGAGGATTGGTATTTCTAAGTGGAATTTCTTGCGCCCGACAAAAGATTGAAGCTCTCATTGAAGGTTATTGCCTCCAGTGGCGTGCAGTAAAATTTTGCTACCTTGACATTATGTAATTAAAACCGAATTTTTAAATTTTACAATGCAATTAAACAGTTTAACAAAAAATTTAAGCTACTACTCTTAATATAGGGCTGTAATCCAGCGGCGTAATACCAAAAGCATTTTTTGGTTTGGTAAGAAGTGCTAGTAACTTAAAAAAATATTTTTCAAAATGCTATGATGTTGGCCAACACTGCTATTCATCTTTTATTTGGAATTTTTTATCTTTCTCCTTCAGCCTTGGTATACTACGCGTCTTCTTTGGAGATATTTTCCAATCGGTAATACGATCTATTAAATTTTTAAACAACATCAAAGAATTTATTGATTAACATTAACAATATGTAACATTTTAAGAGCAGTTAAATACCTAAATTATTTATCTATGACAAAACAGCCAAGGTTATTAATCAATTCTAGGGATACGTTTTTCAACTCTTCCTGAATGGATCTTCCATCGTTTGAGGAGCATTTTGTCTTGACGGCACTAACACCTTTATTCGAGACCACATATGCTCAATTATGTTTGACTCAAGAGACTTTGATGGCAGAGGCAATAATTATTATTATTATTACGATAATTGAGATGAGCAGAGTACACAGTACTATAAGCTCATGCAGTAAATATAGTGTACGGACACGTAACACAAATACATCAAATAGAAAAAATAAAAAAAGACAGTTCATAGCTATAAAGTTTGTGCACTCCTCCAGCTATCATACTGCACTTTGAAGCTATTAACTGAAGTAGCACCAACCACACTTTCAGGTAAACTATTCCAGGTGTTGAATATGCGGTTGGGAAGAAACCACTGTCGGACTGTTGTTTTAAATGGCTCCTTATGCAGTTTGAAGCTGTGTCCGCGTAGATTGCTGCGCGACAGACGGTATAGATGCATGAGGTTGGTGCCCATCAAACCATGAAGTATCCTGAACGTAACTATAAGATCGCCACGAAGTCTTCGCTCAGAGAATGAGGTCTGGTTGAATAATTCAAGGCGATCTTCATAGCTTGGTCTTCGTGCTCCAAAAGGGATACGAGTAGCCCGACGCTGTACTGATTCGACGAGATTTCTATCGCGCAGAAGCACAGTGTCCCATACCGGGCCAGCGAATTCAAGAATTGGCCTCACGAATGCCTTGTAAATGTAGGCGCAAGTGTTGACATCGGATCCTTTGAAAGACCTCTCCAGCATGTATAGAAGTTTCTTGGCTTTTGATGTAACGTGGTGAATATGCTCTGACCAGGAAAGACGATCGTTGACTACAACGCCCAGATCAGTGTGGCTGGAAACTGCTTCGATGTTGTGGTCAGAGATCTTGTATGTAAATCGCGGATTTGTCTTCCCGAGGTGAAGGACACAACACTTAGTTAGATTTAAGGGTAAAATCCAACTGACTGACCATTGACAAACAATATCAAGATCTCGTTGAAGCATAGCAGAATTTACGACAGTATTGTAAATCTTGGTGTCGTCGGCATAAGCTGAACATGTAGAGGAAATCAATGCGGGCAGGTCACTTGTATACAGAAGGAACAGCACTGGCCCCAAGACAGAGCCTTGAGGAACTCCACTTGCTACATGATGAAGGTGAGACTGGCTATCACTGACGCGCACAGAGAAAGTCCTACCGGTGAGAAAAGCCTTAATCCACAGTAACAACTCGCCTCTTATTCCCATACATTCCAACTTAAACAGAAGCCTTCTATGTAGTACGCGATCGAAAGCCCTAGAAAAATCTAAGCAGATTATATCAACAGGAGTCTTTGTGTCCAGATACTGAGTCCAATCGTTGAGAGAGTGGAGAAGGTTGGTCATTATTGATCGATCAGGGAGAAATCCATGCTGATTCTTAGGGATAAGGTCATTTTCGAAAGCAAATGACAGGAGCTTATCTAATATGATTCTTTCAGCTATTTTGGCGGCGATAGGAACGAGACTTATTGGTCGATAATTTTTAGCGGAGGATTTGTCGCCCTTTTTGAATACAGGGGTAACAGAAGCACTAAGCCAGCATGAGGGTAGGGTATGAGATCTAAAAGACGATGTGAATATCAAGCTTAATGGTATATAATGTAACATTATTTTCTGCTAAAGCAAAAGTTTATAACCGTGTGAGCTCTGTGAGGCCTGGCGTTATCATCCATGACGACAAAATCCTCACGAAAATCTTGTGCAAAAGGTACAACAATATTGTTTAAAATGTTGTCCGTATAAACTGCAGCACTGTTTGAAATGAAAAGTTCGGTTTTACCAGTGCGTATAACCCCAGTCGAAACAGTAATGTCACCTCCACCAAACGCCTCTTGTGGAACCTTGTTTTCTTCATCATATCGTTTCCCAGCTTGCATCCAAACAAGGACCCTATGGGTTGAAGCGTGTTTCATCGGAAAACATACAGTTTTGCCACTGCTGATGCCATTTTACCCGCTTCTGTGCCCATTGATACCTGGCGACTTTATGATTGTTCAACAGTTGGGTATACTTGGCGCGACGCCTTGCTTGGGAAGAAATGCGAAATTTTTTATAACATACCTTAACAAATTAGAATTTAAAGTTCTTCTCACAGTACGACTGGATGATGTTATCCCACTGCGCCGCCATAAGTGTTCATTCACGGTCCTGGATAAAAGGGTCGTCATTCGCCTTTCTTCCTGCAATAAATGTCTTTCGGCCCGAACTCGTTTTTTTTATTATCTCCTCCCTGCAAGTAGAACGTTTCCCCGGTATCCTGATATCTACGCCTTAAACAGTATATTGGGGACTGGATCAGTACTATAAATTAAATCTACATCATTCACTAAACGACGTTATACAGTTATCTCGTTCTTTTTGACAAAGACGAGGCGTTTTTGAGAAAATAAAATGATACTGTCAAGTCTACAGTCAATATTATTGTTACTTAGCAATTGCATGTTTGAGGTGTAGGTAGTTAGGATGAGACCGGAGAAACTTCCTATATGCATGGAGAGGATAATACAAAAAAACTAGGTCGAGCCGAAAGACATTTATTGCGGGAAGTTAAAAATTGGATCGTTTAAGTTATACTCAACTTTCGAAAAATATGAGATATCACTTTTCTAGGATAGTCCAAAGATCAAAAAGATGCATAGAAAAATTGCCAAGATCAGAAAATGGGGATCTCACAAAGAGTTGGTGAATAACCTCCCGAATACCGCAATTCGTTCCGGAAATATCGAGATTTGGATTTGGGCAAGATTTTTCATGTTGCAAAGCAACTGTCCACCAGTTTATTTGTAGTGTGACTAGTGTGCAAGTAGGTTTCTATCCGAACGCTGTTAGAAGGTACATTTATTCCTAAATTAGATACAGAACAGAGATAGCAGCGAAGAATTCGGTGTAATACAACTTCCTTTGCTTCTAGGTAAAAAAATATCACATAAAAAGATATCTTTTTATCAAGCTTGGACTACTTTCCGCATATTTCGCATCTCCTAAAACATTGTCCAGGGTGGAGCCGAAAGACGTACGAATTTCAAAACCGCATTGCTCGTGACAAGCACGCGGAAGCGGGACACGGGGAGTGGGGATAAATAGCCAGGTGCTCGGAAATTTAGTCGCCATGGAGCGTTTCACCTGGGAGTAACGTGCTTTCTGTGTTAAGGCTTATTAGAAAAATGGAGATTCGTGCACTATTGCGCGGCGTCTATTTCGCTTTGATCTAAATCAATGTTCTTGTGAAAGTGTGATCGTGTCGTAGGTCAGGAGGTTCGAGTCTACCGGTTCGACAGTGAATCAGAAACCGCGGGGCGTCCAAGGTCAATACGAACAGAGGAAACTGTAAGCGAAGTTACGACGTCTGTATGTTTTTTTTTATTTAGACAGGATTTATTTACCTTTAAGCTACTTCAAACAGTAATAAGTACCATTTACAAAAAATATGTTAAATTTACAAAGAGGTCGTCACATCAAACCAAAATAGTTTCTTCGAAGTCTCTTTTTGAAAATTTTAGCATTACTAGATCTTTTTACATTAATAGGCAGATTGTTGTACATTTTTAGACCTTCAACAAACATTGACTTTTCTAAACCTTTAAATCTAAATCTTTGTATGTGAAACTTTTCTTTTGATCTAATGTCGAGCTTGATTTTTGATAATTTTATATGAAAGAATAAAATTTGCCTCTTGAATCATTTGGTGTATGTTTAAAAAATTCAATGCCTTTAGCATTTCCTGTATAAGCGTATACCTGCTACAACTTAACAAAATCCGCATGCATTTATTTAATAGAATTTGTAACCTTTGTTTTTGCTCATTTTGGGCATGTAATCAAAAGTGATGCACAATAAATAAAATGAGGAAAAAGTATTGCATGGTAGACTACCCTTCTGCACCAGGGACTTACATTGTCACAAATTCTTCGAAAATACTCGATCTTTTTGCGTAATTTCAGACAAACGTAGTTCACATGTTTGTTGAAAGTTAATTGATCTA